CACTTGAAGAAAGAGCACCTTTAAAATGTAAAACATCCAATATATATTTACAATTCAGTCAGAGATGTATATGGAAATAATAATTTATATATAAATACAAGAATATAGGCCACCAATCCCCTAAACTTCACAAAGTATTGCAATTTGTTAAATGAAGATAATTCTACACCTAAAATGTAGTTTTCCTGGAATGCATGTTAATGGTTCTAAAACTCCCAACACCATAAAACAGAAAATTATAGCTTAAAATTAAGAATTTATAAAGAGAAGGAATGATTATATGTTATAAATTTCTACCAAGGCCAATTGAAGTGATATTGAGAGTCAATACAATTATTTTTATATTTTAATTTAAAACAACCAGCTAAGAAAAATCTAAAACTGTAATATAAAATGTCCTAATTCTCCAAATCAAATTAATTAGTAGATACTATTTTAAGGTTAAAATTTTTCATTTGAAAGAAAAAAAAAACTTGAGCTGTAAATTATCTAACATATCATCAACCAAGAATATAAGTTCCAATCCTTTAAGCCAACTATTGTCACCTCTTGAAAAGAATATCTTAATTTCTTCTTAAGCCTCTATAAAGAATTGGAAACTCTAAAACTATGCTAAATTTGACTTGATTCTGAGGTAACTAAAGATGATTCTGCATCTTATTCTATTGCAACACACTGTCTAAAATATTTTCAATAGCATTTGAGATCCATCCTGCAAATAGTTCACCACCGATGGATCTACCTCCCACATAACACTTAATTCCAAAAAATAAAGTAATTACGATAAGCTTTAAAAAGTATGTTGATTATTCACAACCAAAGTCGTGAGCATTTGTCTAAACCCAATAAGAAGTAACCAAAACTTCATTTTGACTTGAATATTTGTCCTCAAGTTACAGACTATAATCAAATTCACTTAACTGAACCATAATTCAACAACTCTCAAATAGAGATTAGAACAATTATCACATACAAAAATCAGTACCTACTCACCTAAAGAATTCTCTTCAGGCACTCCGAATTGCATCCTGTTGGCCAGCTTCCTCATATCAGTTATTGCATATCTGTCAAATATAAACACAAAATACAAGGTATTTAGTTATGAAGGTTATAACAAAAAAGGCATCAGTTGCTTTTCCAAGTGCTGTTGTAAGAAACTGCTACCTTTCTTTAATTTTCCGCAGCCGACGACCACCTCTCTTCTTTTTGGGCTCTGAATATGGCACCGGAAGAGGTTTTGGTTGCTTTGCACGGGGTGGTTCTTGCCACTTTTCAATCCTTTTACCGATTTCTTCTCGCAAATCTATTCCAGTATTTCCTGTAGGATCCCCTCTGGTTGAGTCAACCCTTGCTGCTAGGGTTGATTTTGCAGCCAATAGTCAGCAAGCATGAGTTCTAAGCGAAGGGGGGGTGCTCTGGAAAATCTCAGTCTGTTCAAGATAACCTGCACGAAACTGAGAGGTTGCAGTACAAAAACCCAGCAAGAGTCTTTTTCTTTGCCCCAAGAAGCTGAACATTACACGCTGGCATTTTTGCTAATGCTAACAAACCTCCAGCAGTTCCCATAAGTTTAGCTGCAACTGCACTTCCAACGATTGCTGAAAGGTTTGGCGCAATGTAACCCATTATACTCTCTACGAAATAAAGAACTTTCTTTTTTGCAAGGTCAAGAGCAAGGGCTCTATCACATGCATCAATACTTTTCTGGAGGTTGTCTTCTGAAAGAGGCTGTCCACTTGTAGTTGATGCTGTTACAGAAACAACCATAATAATAGCTGAAGGTAACAGACATTCCAAATCAACAAGGGTTAAATACATCTCATTTCCAATCTTCTTGACAACCCGAGCATAATCAATTTGGTGATGAACAAGGGACTCAAGCTCAGGAAATTTCAGACGATACTTATCACGGATAAAATTGTGAATTATAATGATCTCATTTTTTATATACACTGATAAAGAATTGCAGTCAATAATGACTTGATACTCAGGATCATCCTCCAAAACTATCCCATGACTAGAAATATCTGTTCCTTTCTCTAGAGCATCATCCAATTTTTGACAAAGAAAGAAAGGAAAAGGAGAGAATCTCATTAAGACACAAAAATGCAAGTCTATTCAATATAAAAGTCCATTTCACCAGTAGCAAATGTTAAAAACTATGTCCCAAAGAAAAACAAAATAAGTTTTCCAAAATAAAAAAACTGAAGCCAGAAATGTACACCACTAAAATAATCTTCTAATACTTATTTGGATAAGAAAAAAAAGGATCAATCTGAAAACATGGATAATATCCGAGTAAGAAAAATCACAACATACAAGAAACAAAGGGGAAAAAAGATGAGCATTACCCAAGGAAATCTAGTGTTCGCCAGATAGGATAGGACAATCTTGAATAATATATCATGTATATAATATAAATTTAAGACATATTGAAAACAGGAAAAAGAAGGAAAGTTATGAGACCAATAAATAAATATTGGCTCACTACAAGGAACATGATGTCACAGTTTATGATCGTTAATCCAAAAAACAAGGAAATCAAGAGCATCTGGAGTAATGACTCTGACCTGCATAATATCATTGTATCTTTGTGTCTTTTGCAGTTTTGAAACACTATCAAGGTCCTCATAATTGAGAGTTTCAATATCCAGCATGTCACCTTCATCATCTTCTTCCACAGCAGCTGCATCAATATTCTCATCATCCTAATAGACAAGGTCGATGGAAAACATGAGCCGATATCACAGTAAGCTGCAGTGACTAAAACAAAGTTAAGCAACGAAAAGAGGCCTCAATGATAATGCAATGAAAAGAAGCCATATAAATAGTAATTATTTGTTACAAGTAAGAAAGATAGTGCAGGCACAATTAATAGAATTGATGTCAACTCACGAGTTGGACTTCATTGTCAGATAGCTCATCAAGATCAGCCAAGAAGGAATCTGCAAGTCTGGCCTGTGTACGAGCAACAGGAGGAATAATTAGTTTAAGCCAGCTTCACCGAAGAAACATCAAGCTTTCTGAAATCAACATGCTCATGTCAAATCTAATCCTTAACATTTAATAAGAATTTTTTTTTCAGAATTTTCACAAGCATGACCTAAAAATGAATACAGAACGTTAAAGTCTGATTGGCATCAGTTAACATAACAAGTTACTTAGCAGTGCAGCAACAATAAGCAATAAAGAAACATGTGGTCACCCAAAAGAGGTATCCACTTACACTTGTGTATCAACAACCATGGCTATTTGTTGTGCTGTGTCATGCTGTACATAAGGGCCAACCACATGCTAGTGTTATCAGGAAACTTATTTCGTGGCTCCTTCTGAAGCAATTTATCTTGCTTCTATAAGGCTCCTAATCCTTGAAATGATTTTCATGTTTCTAGCTATCTAACAGATGACATGATACTGATCATCAAAGTTGAAAGATGATAAAATTTGCAATAACAAAGTATGATAAAATTATTTAAAAAGTTCATTATAAAAAAAGTTACTGCTTGCACCAAGAAAATACAGGTAGATTGACTACACTAACTCTTATTTATAACACTTCAAACAACAAAAAGAATGTCTTCAAGGTTAGTCACGATTTAACCTGTAGGTTAAAGAGAAAACAATGAAGAAATTATCTTGCTACTTTCTCATCCTCCTCATTGGACTACTTCCTAAGGTGCCAAATTAACATAAGCATGAAAGAATAGTGCAATATAAGTTGATTACTAATCAGAAAGGAGATATGTTTACCAACCATTTGTTCTCTCAATAATTAGAATCCAAAGCTGAATGGCTGGCAAGATCTGCAAATATCTGCTGATACAGATACAAAAAGCAATAGCAAGTGGTTAATTGCTAGTCCAATCAAGCCTAATTATGTCACACTCAGATATTAAGAGGTTAACAACAAAGGAACAAGTGCATAGCTGACCACTGTCCATCCAAGTCATTGCATGCTTATCAAAAGATCGTGGTATATACCACGCTATCCTAACATAGGCAACTACATAATTACAGAAAAAACAAGCGCCTATAGACCAACCATGGCTGCTTCGCACAATCGTTTCCAATATCAAGAGACAACGAAACTATAGGACTTGTGCTGCGTTCTCGACCACACAAAGCGGAAAGCCTACCACCAAAATAAATTGAATTCAGCAACATTTTATATGCCGATTGCCAATCTGCGATTCACCGACTCCAAACGATTCAAGAAAGCGGTAGCGGAAATTAAAATATTCTTTCATTCAATCTTTCGATTGTTCCCCAAAGAAAGAGGAAGATTTTGTATGAAGAAAGTGCGGAGGGATAAGGGTAAGAACAGAGACGGAGAGAACCCACGCCGCGCCTAAGAAAAGACCGTGACGTTCACAAACTGGAACTAAAGAGCTTGCCTCGTCGATGGAAATCGGAGAGTTGGGCATTAAGAAGCCTAAATTTGGGGCAGAAGACGCGCACGAACCGATGAAGGCGACACACAAGTCGGATTCGGGCGTAGCGGACATCCGAAAAGGATCCGCTGCCTCCGTAAGCGGCCCAGAGTTATTTTATGGCTCGTCGTTCGTCAATGTGAGCCGGGAGCAACTGTGTACGGTAATATCGGATTCGGATTCAATGTACACAACCCGATAACCCTTCTTGACAACAATTGAGATCAAAGAAACATCTGTATCAAACAAAAGCTTTCTTATTCTTGAACTTCTATCCAAACTATCAAAATAGTTTCTTAATTTGGAATCTTTGCTTCTTGACAAATATTGAGACTAAATAAATTTTCTGTGTCAAATAAAAAGAGCTTTGGGAAGAAAAGAACTATAAGAAGATATTAAAGAACTGCTGAAATCTTCATGTATGAGAGAGTTCCTCAACATCTACTGCAGTTGCAGCTCAAGTCAAAACCTGGTGATAAATGAAAACATGATGTGCTACACCATCTTATGCCTACAAGTGAAGATGCAAAGATTACTGTAAATATCATAAACTCATAGCCCAGAAAGAGATGAATGAAGAATTCATACTATTTAATCAGCAATTGCCAGTGCAAATGCAATTGCAGCTGAGGACCATTCCTACAGGCCGCAAGGAGTTTTAACGTTCTTTCACCTTAATATTTACAGCAAAAAAAGAGAAAGGATGGCACCATATGTACACAATATATACAGAAGAATTGTATTTACACCCAATTGTCCGGTCCGGCACCAGAGAAATTGTTCTGAGGCAGAAAACAAGGAGATAAAGAATAGTATTCACAGGTCTATTTGAATCTTCACCGAGGATGCATCTCCTTGCAGCTTCCTTCACTCTTGCTTGCATCTTGTAAGGAATGCTTTGTCCAACAAGAAATTTATGTGCTTTAACATCCTAACAGCTTCTTTCTTGCTTTGTTTAATCTTTTTTTTTGTTTTTTTCTGAGGCACCCCATGATCTTCGTATCTTCATCAATACAAGGAACACACCAATGACAAGCTTTCAGCGAGTTGTTTCAAGCTGACAAGTGTTCTGCAAGCCACTCTTCGATATACCTTTTGCTATCTGCAACAATAAAATGATACATAAATATATATGAAATATATCTACCAAAAATTCAAATCAAATAACATAAATCATAATGCATAAAGCTAAGGATCATTCTATTAAGGCAGACATCATATTTAAAAAAAGGTTGTGGCAGAAACATGATTTGTAGTGCCACTGCTCCTCTAAGCTCATTCTCATGCCTTTGAACTTGAAAGAAACACATTTTATTTCTTCAAGATAAGAAATACTAGATGATCAACGATACATAAAATTACATTCAACAGGACCTTTTTTTTTTTGGGAGTTTCAGGACCGAAAGAGGTAGTGGCCAAACTTGCGTGCTGAATCAACCAGAGGAAATAACTAATATCCTAACAGTTCAGCTAATATTTACTAGCTAAAATTTATGAGTTCGAGAAACTGGATTAGAACTGCAAATTTCATGTACTTAAATCAGTGCAAATAAGAAATGGTAGAAGTTTTGGGTTGCAAGTGGGCATGAGATAAAAAGAATGCAGATTCATCGAAGATGTCAAAGCTATGATATTTAATGAGAACAGTAATAAGGGTATATACCAATATACTGAAGCTCATAATAGATCATCTAACATAAGCAAGAAAAATTTTGCTTACTCATCCATGGAATAGAGATAACATGTAGAAGTATATTAAAGCATTTTTCCAAAAGAAACCACTAGACAGTAACAAACCGATATCATTCAGTGACTAAATTAGAAGTCAAGATGGTTAACAAAGGAAATCACTCTTATGCACAGTCAGCTACATAAACAACCTTTTCTTTTTTATTCGAGCAACTGGAAACATTGAATGGATTAATCTGGAATAGCATAATTGGCAATAAAAAGGTCCTTTCTTGAAGGAAGACAAAATGGCAGCAGAAATTTCCTTAGATCATTAACTATTTCTGAAAAAAAAAATCTCTAGGTGAAAAGAAAAACACAAACAACACAAATTAAAAGATAAATTATAAGTGGAACTGAGAACGTCCAACAAAAGGCTAGAGAAAACATGCACCCACGCACAACTACAAGACGTCAAAGCAAATATTAGATGTACTGCTGCACAACATGTAAAGTTTTATTGAATTGGAAGTGTAGTATACTTTCATGAGAGACCATTATTCTTCTAATGGCAGCATTCTCCCTACATTTAATCCAAGAAATCTCAAGAGACATAAGGTCAGCATTTTAAGTTCCAACAAGTGCAACTGGGTTACTTCTCCAAGCAATCTTTTTGTAGTGGGAAAACAAATGATTATTATGCTAAATAATGAGTTCTTCTTCTGAAAGAAAATGAAAAAGGAAAACCCACATAGTGAGATCAAACGAATTAAGACGTAACAAGTAATGAGGCAAAGCAATAAAATGTCCACTAGAATGACAACTTCTATCAAACAAATTGATTTAAGATCCGATTTACCAGAATAATCGTAGTCCGTGAGATCAACAGCACCTATAACATGCTTCTGGGAGCCGTCCACCACCTCGCGACGACCACGGCCATAGCACGGGACCAAGACAGCGAAGCTGCGCTCTGTATCGTTCTCGGTCCCGAACTCAGGGGCGTGAGGTTCCAACCAACCGATCGACCAATCGGAATCATCGGATTCAGAACCAGACATGCATCCTCCATCCGAGGGCACCAGGACTACGTCATACTCCTTATCTAACCGCCGTTCCTCCCGGCTATGCCACTTCCTCCTGATTCTTCTCGGACTAGATCTAATTCGAGGCCCGCTCACAAACTTCAACGAATCCAGCTCCCTGAACCCCGCGGCGGAATCTGAAGAAGAGCTCAGAGATGGATTGGGAGTTTCATGACCTTTTCCACCCAAAAGCCAACGGGATAGAAGGTTAAAAGCCACATCCATATACTCTAGGAAGAAAAATCCCGCGGCGCCTGAGGCAGATCGCGACCAATGGAGACGAAACGAGACGTATCGAAGTTTTCCTGACAGATGGAAAGCAAACCAACTCAGGGCCGATAAAAATCGAACCTTCATATCTAAACCCATCAACAATCATCAAAATCACAACTTTTCTTACCGAAAGCCCGCAAGAAAACCAAAATCACAGAAAGGGAGGCAGCCTTCTACTGTTTACCTCTTTTCAGAACAATAGATCTTAAATTCGAACGAGCAGACGTAGAACAAGAATCAAATCCCGAGGAAGAATATCTCGAAATAAAGCGTACTTTTCGATTAAAACTCCTTCAAAACCGCAATAAATTAAATCTCCGTCTCTTGCCTGGTTATCGGAAAGTCGATTCGATAAGGACAACTCTGATTATAACTCGGGATCCAGCGATCCTCTGGTCGAGGTCTCCTCCACACAATCGGCAGGGGGATGGCTCTCTCTCTCTCTCTCTCTCTAATCTCGGTGCCCGTCCACCATTTATCGACCTCGAACAAGCGATTTGGGCTCCGCGATACCGTGATCACGGTCCAGATTCCGTGGATCCGAATCTTCCGTGAATTCCAGCCGTTCAATACTGGATCCCCAGCTATATTCATCCACGGAACCCAGAGAAGTTACGTGGCACAGGGTGCCTGGTGGGGCCCGACGTTTGGTAGGTTTGTGGGGATGACGTCTTCTCGTACCTCTAATACTGTTGCGATTTATGGGATTCTGGCATTTGGCGGCCCAATCATTGCACAAGTCTACGGTGCATGATGTTGCCACGTCAGTTAAATTTGCTGCCTCCTGATTTATGAATACACCCCTGAGATCATTTTATTCAAAGATCGGCCCAAACCACAGTCGTCTAAACATACTTTTGAGTTTTATTTGGAATGCTTAGTTTAATTGACTTAATAATTAACATCATTTACTTCTATAATTAGGGATAATTACATACTATCATATATAATTAGTTATATTTATCATTTCGATCTCTATATTTTTAAAAATTATATTGAGATTCTTATATTTATGAAAATAAAATATTTAACATCATTGTTCCAACAAAATCTCTCTCACTTTCTTGATTTTTAATCTTATAAAATTATTTTTCTAACGAGATCTTAATGTTTCACTTTATAAGTATAAGGATTTTAATATAACTTTTAAAAATATAAGAACTGATATACTTGAGATAGCTAATTACAGAGGATAATTTATAATTATCATATATAGTATAAAATTAACTTTTCAAAAAAAATTTAGGTATGAATTATGCTGAGAGAAATATCTACCTCTTATTAGAATTTGACAAATGACAATCCAATCAACACCAGGAGACTAAGGTCCTCTGTCAATAAGCATTTACTAAATATAAAATACATAGAAATTATTTTCTTAAAATATTTCTTCTGATTAGATAAACTAAAAATTCCATCAAACCACAGTTATCGAGGTTAAATATTATTTACCCTAATTTTTTTTTACTTTATTTTATTACTAACTTTATCATCAGAAAGATTATGTTAAAAAATCTCACTCGATTTTAGTCTCATGGGTCGACACTAAATCAGACATCCAAGACTTTCTCGATTGGTTCTTACGCAGATAAATCCCAACCAAATAGATTTGTACACTCTCTTAATAGTGCACTAAAACCAGATCGCAGATTTCTTAGCTCAAGTGATTTAGAATGCATCTGATGAGAGTGGTGGCTTCCTGGAAACTTCATAGCCAGCACCAGAAGTGAATGATTTGATCTCGAATTCATTCATCGTATTCAACGCTCAACAGTAATTGTGGTTGAACTTTAAATCCTCGACACCGACGACGCATGGAGTCGTGTGTGAGAGAGATGTTTCTGCCATGGAAGACGACACGAGGAAGAGCTTCCTGGTAACTCCACAGCCGACGAGTCTTCTCAGGAACAGAGAAGGAGACATGAAGTAAGTGTTGCAGCAAAATGAAGTCTTTGCAGTCCGAATATTGAATGCTAAGTAAAACTTAGCACATTGAAAGCATGGGGCTACTCGATGTACGTATCATTAAATATTGCTAGAACTTGACTCTGACTAACGACTTTGATCTTAAAATCTGTGCCCAAGTTTGATTTGGATGCCTCCTTTCTTACCCGAACTATTCCAAGATTGATTGATTGATTGTTGACACACGAAGAAGAACGATAAGAGGTTGTCATTGTCATTGTCATGTTCATGAATTTTAACATGATATAATTTGTATTTTCTATCAATTATGAATTTAACATATGAAACTTAGTCGACATTTATATAACGTGCCACCTTAATTACCAAATACAATGAATCACATTAATAGAACATCTATAAAAAATATTCACTTGTGAAACTGATTATTATAAAAAATATTCACTTGTGAAACTGATAATTACAAAGTCTTACCATCAAATCCCACAAAAGTTAGTAATCACAAAAATAATATTGTTTGCATGTACATTTTCATTTGGAACTTAATATAAGCTATAAATATAGTCTGTTGAAGAAAGCAAAATGTGAGATATAAGCTATAAACATATTATATCGTCGAGATATAACTATTTACAGGTCTTTGATATTTATAAATGTATATTAACTCGATCGTTTAAAATATTTTATTAGATAAATCATCGACGTAATATTTTAGGAAAAATAAATTATATCCACATCTCTTGTCTTGGAATCAAAAGTAAGATAAGAGATACGAAATATCAGCACTTTTTATATTCAAAAAAAATTTCCTTCTAAATACTCAATAAAATTTGATTTTTTTCTAATTTTTAAATACCCAATGATGTTTTTGAGAATACTCGAAAGATAGATTAATCGATTCCTATCCGAAGTAGAGAGATAGCGATGAATGGGAGGGAAGGTTAAGTAGTGAAAATAACATGACGATGAATGTTGAGGATTTATTGAGTAAAAGGGTGGGGAGAGAGAAGATATGAGGTAAATGAGAGATTTCTCTCGTAAAGTTCCAATCATTGTATTAGATGTTATGATCGATGGGGAAGAAAACAAGCATGATATATAGACATGTGGATCTAATGTCATAGTTACATTCAAACAATCGATCAAATCATATGTCACGTCATTATCATCAAATCAAAACTAAGGGTATTTTTATTTCTTTGAAGGCCAAATAGATGGAATTCATGTTTATTATATCACAGTAAGACATGAGAACCATGACAAAATAAAGAAAAAAAAATCTTTTATCATGTTTCTATCGATAGTCAAGTATTTTCTTAATGAGTTTGAGTTAATATAAATATATGAATAGATTTAAATCAACCTTACTTTTTAATTTTTAAATAAAATTTCCAGGAGGAATGCCAAAAAATTGAGGGACTGAAGTCTCTGAATAGTTGAAGGGAAGAATTGGTTCAACAATCCTTAATAAAAAAACTCAAATTACTTTCAAATAAAAAGATAATTAAATAAAAATATTAAAAATAAATATTGATAGTGTATATATTGTGCGATAGATGAGGTATTTTTTCAATGACTTAACCTTATTTAGTGAAGAAAACGAAGTAAATCAGGTCTTGAAATACATTCCTTTGATCTAGATTTCGACCAATTCACACGTGGTATGAAATGGAATATGTTTTTACGAGTTATAATTAATAATTATACTTAAATATTTTTATTATTCACGAGAGAATTCTAAGGATTATACAGATTCCTAACTACGATCATCTACCAATTCTCTCATACACAAAAGCCCATACTAAGAATATATATAGAGTCATATCTCGTAAAAAATACCATCTTAGACCTTTTTCATAGCTATGCTTTTTTTATATTCATTAATCACTATAGAGATAGAGTTGATGATAAACTTCATATCTACGCGTACTAAAGTGTAAACCATTATAATTTTTTAGCCAATCAATTAATTTATTATTATTATTATATATAACATCCTTCTAAGGATCTTCTTTCATCGTTGGAAGGCTTATTTTAGGTAAACACTTATCTTCGTCAATGACACCAATTCTATTTAAGTATTTAGTAAGACAAATCGATTATATTTATTATCATCTTTAATATAAAATATAAAAATAACTAAATAAAAATCTAACCATCTAATATAATTTTATAATAAATTATAAATTTATTATAATTTAAATATTTATAAATTTATTTTATAATAAATCTATTATAACTTTGTAATCACAATTAATAGAAATAAGAAGAATAAGGTTTGAGATCATAAGAGTAGAAATTAAATTCTTAAGTCATTTTGCTTTGGTACAAGTGGGGTCAAATGTTACAATTAGTCTATTTAGTTAATTGGTATCACTATAACCTTCAAAAACTTTTATAAAATTAAGTCCATAATAAAAAGTATCCTTAAGGGATCTGAAAAACAAATTCAAGAACATTTAAGTGAGCCAAACTTATGTTACTAGTATATCTACTAAGTCTAAATATAATATAAGAAATATCAAGTCTAGTTTTATTTGATAGATAAAAATGAGATATAATAATTTGAAAGTATTATTTTTGTTTACATAATTATTATTATTTTTAACAAAATAAATATTTAGATCATAACGAGTGGAGATAAATGAATACTCAAAATATCTAAATTTTTTAATTATGTTTTTAGTATAATGAGATTGTGATAATGATATAGAAATAAAAGATTTTTAGATTTTCTATCAATTTTATCAAAATCTTTCATTTAAAAATGATGATTAAAATTAAATTAAAATAAGATATTCTTTTAATTGATCTGAAGTGGATACGGCCAAGTCTATCATGCTAAATACCACACAATTCAGAATTTAAGACAATAGAGGAAGATGATTCATCTTTGTTAATCGAAATATTGATTACATTAAGCTTAAAAAATCCTTTATATACCAAGTCTTTTCTTATATACATATATCTCCTTTAAAGATTACAACTGAGCTTCTCAAACTATTCTATAGGCTAATTATACAAGGAAAGATCTACTAATTAATTTTCAAGGGATATATAGTATATATATCACATCTTCAAGTGTAAGTATATTTCTTAAAATAAGCTTTATGTTCCATTCTCTATGATTACACTTTCTTCGCTTCATATCTAGCTAAGAGAAAAATCATTCTTGATTAACATAAACATGAATATTTACACCAAATAATATTTGGTTATACTTTTATTTAAATTTTTGGGTTAGCGTCCTATTTAGTTTTAATCAGAGGTATAAGTAATAATAATAAAATAACATCAAATTAAATCAAAAATAGGTTAAATATGTAGAAATTAAAATAGAAAGTTTAGCAAAAAACAAAAAATAATTGAAGGCATAAAATCAATATCCTAAATGTATTCCTTGACATTGTGAATATGAACACGTTCCACACCAATCATGAAGGAGAAAAAAAAAATAAACCAAGGAAAATAAGTGAAAATAAAAAAAAAAACTGTTCTTTTTTTTTTTGAATTTTAGTATTTCTTTTTGCTTGCTCGACGAGCGTGGGTGAACATTGTTCATTGTGTTTTTGATATTTTTTGATGCAGCTTTCAATCTTTGTGATTGCCAATGGAGTACTACAAGAAGGGAGCTTATCCAATGAGCAGTCCTCATGTGAGACACAGATTGAGACACTGACACCATGGACGATGCACACCCTTTATGTCCTGCTGCAGGGAACCCTGAGAGGCCCCACGATCTTCTCCTCCTCCTCCTCCTCCTCCTCCTCCTCTCTCTCTCTCTCTCTCTCTCTCTCTCTCTCCTTCCCCTATCTTGCCTCTGTCCCTCCTTGAATTGATTCCTCCCCAGTCTCTTCTTCCCTCATCTACATCGGCAACGAGGAGGAGGAGGAGTGAAGCCAACCATGGGTTGTCCTCCCACTCCCCTTCCCCTTTCTCTTGAATGCACACTCCGACCTTTCCTGTTCTCGTCCTCACCCCACCGCCCCTCACCTTCTTCGACAGCCTTCTTCTCCAATACCACCACCCTCTCCCTGCACAAGTCCCGTGCTTTGCCCCTCCTCAAACTCCTCCGCCGCTTCTCCTCCCCTTCGGCGCCCCAACCCGTCACCCCCTCCCCTCTCGACTCGTCCCCGTGGCCCGGAGCCTTCCTCGTCCCCGACGGCCTCCAGGTCCTCCGGGACTTCTGCGTCACGGTGGAGCTCGACCACGGCGGCGGCGGGGGGAGCGGTGGGTTCCTGGAGATCCGCCCCATGTTGGCCGAGGAGCTGGACGCCACGGCGCAGCTCCTCGCGGAGTCCTTCGCCGAGTCTATGTTCGTGCCCGCCCGCTACGTCCCCCTCCTCGCCTTCCTCGTGAAGCAGTACGTCGCGGAGCGGCGATGCCTGGAACCGCACGTGACGGTGCTTGTCGGGTTCTACAGGGAGAGGGGCACCGAGGGGGCTGCTCAGCTGGCGTGCACCGCTGAGATCTCGCTCGACGCTCGCGGAGCCAATGCCGCCCCGCCCACGCCGGTCCCTCCCCGGGAATGCCCTTACATCTGCAACATGGCTGTCAGAAAGGCGCTTCGAAGGTCCTAACTCTGTTCTTTTACTTCTTTCCTTCACGGTTCCTTATTATTGAGGAAGAAAAAATTCCACCTTTCCTCGAAACAAATGTTATCAATTTTATGCAAGAATTTTGATCCTGGGGGTTGGAATAGAAGGAACAATTTTCTATCATTCATTGTGATTTTGTGGTCGTAATCTCTGTTCACAAGCCATTCTAGGAAGAAATGGCATTAACTTGTGTTCTTGCTCATGGATTGTGTATGAAGTGAGCAAGGCTGCTTTGAGAACCTAGAACAAGAAAGATGATGCAAGTACAAGCTTTGTTTCAAAATTCGTACACACTTATATTTCTTCCATCCTAGGAGATGATTTTACCTAAGTTGAACATGATCAAGAAGACATGAAACCTTAGTAATTAATGAGTAATGACATGACTAGGAGTATGATTTAGAATTTCAAACTTTGGTACTTGGCTAAAATGCATATAATTGTTTATTATAACCAGACCATTCAAGTCATCTATTTCGAAAATCCTCTAAATTGGCCAGTGTTTGTACTTTTAACTCCTAAAGTTTTATTTCTTTAATAAGTAGAGATTTTCTCGCATGGTTTCTAACCATGCATCTACTATTAGGGCAACTTATGGCTTTGCGTTATAGACTGTATTGTAAATTCTCTATGATGTATTTTGACAATGGCTTTAGGTCTGCGCCATAGAAAAAGACCACTGCACTCTATATGTTGTTAAGGATTATATAGTCATCTTGTTTCCTCTTTCTGTCATAATGATGACTCTGTGCAAAGAAAGTTAGCATAGATCATGCTTGATTTTGCTTTTCTGGATTCTTTTTTTTAAAAGATCTCCAACTCATGAGCTTTTCTTTTATTTCAAACATTCTCTGGTTAGTATCATCATAGAACATCTGATTTGCAAAGCCTGTTAAATTAGGCATACATCATTGTGTCCACATTCAGTCCAAGCACTCCCTCTCCGATATTTCATTGATGCAGATTAACAATTCATGCTAAACTTTTACAAGCTATGCAAGTTGGAGTTTTCAATATTTCTTTTGGTTTGTTGTTGTTTTATGTGAAGCATCTGGTTCCCTAGTTTTGCAAACAGGAGCTTGCTCTCTTGTTCTGCATTCATTTTTAAATGGTGAATCATCTTCTCTATTTCTAGGCATAAAACTATGTTATAGAATCTTTTATCTTTTCTCAAATCAAGCATTTATCATTACAATTCTCAAGTATTGCCATCTAACAATTACAACCCATAAAAATGCTTATTCTTGCACAGTGTATTGAGTATTCGATGAAGGAGGCTTGTGTTTGAGGTTTTCATCCACAAAGCATTAAGGCATGCATCATATAAATTCCGTAACACAAAAAATCTTTAAAAAAATAGGACACCACGTGGCTACCATATGACAATCAAAACTTTGATATTTTTGCCAGATTTTCAACTCAATTTTGATGTAACTTATCATCTACTTTGTCCTGCTTGTGTTTACCGAAACATCTGTAACATAATGGGAAGTCTCCAGCATTCGTCAGTGTCCTCCATTTACATGACAAAATTATGAGAAGCATTTCAAAGCATTTGGGCTTCGTAGAATTCCTGATATCCAAGACAAGGTACTTTTTTATCGAAGAACTCTCAGCTGAAATGGCTGGTAGGCAGTGAGGAAACCAATGGGTCTCTTTACAACCTTTGAAATGTCAGTATGATCATGATACTGGCCTAAATTAAACCTGAAGAAAGAAAATCTGATGGATTATTAATATCTAATGAACATTCCTGAGTTTTCTGGTTGCTTTTCCAAACTTGCCTTCAGAAAAATAAGATTTTATTCCAAAGAAAAACAGTGATGGTAATTTAAGAATTTTGATTAGTTCATGCTGATTATGCCTGGATCCTAGATTCCAGTAACTATGTAAATACTTTTTTTTTTTTAAAGGAATTAGCAAACAAACCTTTGTGACTAGGATCTAATGCTCTGCATTTTCTCCACTTAGGTGGACCATATACTTGGGAGTCTTCTCAGCTTCTAGTCATACATCAAGTTAGACTTTTATTGCATCTTAAATTCATACCTAAATATTTTTACTAATGTATGCTGGAAAGAATTTTAGGAACTTGGAGATTTTTAAGAGTTCAAAGATCATTAGAGTTCCCCAAAATTAGGATAGAAGACTTGTATAACTGCATACCTACATGATTCTAAGGTAATGTTTCTTGGTACAATCTTTGAGTGAGCAGTACATCTGAATCTTTTTATTTTTATCACCAGAAGAAAGTAAGATGATCAAAGAAGATTTGATCTTAAAAATTATTTTAGTGAAGCTGTGATCAGACGTGAGAGCAAGAAAATGACCAAAGAAGGATGCCTGAGAAATGATTTGTCTAAATTCAGGAAAGAATCCATATAGTCAACTCCAAATAGTCAAGACTTGAACCTTCACACAAGAACCAGCTTCGACATTATTATGGTTAGTCCTTCAGAGATGGATTCATAAGTTGGCTTCATGTAGTGCCTCATCAATGAATGATCAAGACGGACAATAATAAAGATAAAAGTAATTTTAAACATTTGTAGGAAAGGTTGGGGGTTTAGGCTGTGTTCTTGACAGATAAAATATGGAACCAACCGTAGACAAATTTATTGGTTGCAACTTGAAAAGATATTTAAGTTGCATATATGTTTTCATGATTAAGAATGTCAAAGTTTAAACAAAAAATGGAGGATAGCCTGAGACTTGAAACAAGTAGCTAATGGAGTTGGAACAAAAATTAACTCAGGTGATGGATTAGCAAAGAAATAAACACCTTCATTGCCTATATCCTAACATGATTAGCATATGACTGCAGCTTACATTAAAACTGTTAATATGGGCAGTTTTAGTAGCAAAATCACGAGTAAGAAAAATATTCTTTTAACAGTGGTTTCTCACTGAAGCACAATTGTCAAGCCAACACAATGATTGAATGTAACTAATTGTTTCTCAAATTTGCAAAACCACAAGCTTGAATATAACAAAGAATACTTGGCATATACCTTTTTCATATCAACACGTTGTGCATTGGACAGAATCTTGTAAAGGGACAATGCTAACAAGGCAGTAAGCACTATGCTTGTGGAATTGGTTTTTAGAGTCACTTCAGTAATTTCAGTATCCAATCCATCTTGTTGAATGATCAGTCTCTTATGGTACGATATCAATGCTATCATTTCCTTAGTAGAGCAAGTTGCACTGTATGCAGTGTGTGACTGAAGCTAAATGTTTCTTCTTAAAGTGTGGTTAGAACAGTTATCTGGAATGACTAACCCAAGTTTTCAAAACCAGTTGGATAAGTGTTGATTGTGGGATATTTTCAGTCCAACCAAAGACCCATGCCCAATTGCCAAAATCAGTATCAAATTAAAATTTAAATCCTTGTTCTAACTTTCTATACCAAGCTTCTTTGAAACCCCAAATAGTAGAAAATATGATTTCTCAATTGGTGAATAAAATCATGATGTTGCAAAACACTTGTTTGCAATTATTCTTGGGAACTATGAAGGATTGACTTGCCATGTTCTTTAATCTTGTATCAGGAGAAGAATTGGTTGGCATCTCCTGAGGGCATGTGAGGAGCTCATGACTCAAATGAAGACCGAAAGAAATGTATACCTCCACTGCAGGGTGATCGATAAGGTTCCATTTGACATGTACCAGAAAGCTGGTTACAAGGTTGTCAAAACGGATGGCTTCTTGGTTTGGTTGACGCTTCAACGTCGCAAGTACTTGATGTCCAAAGAACTGCCCCATGAAATTGGATGACACTACATCTGATACATCTCAAAGTGATGATCATCAGATCTGATACTCTTACATGTGATACTGCTGTATAGGGAAATCTATCTTGAGGTTTTATGTACCAAATAATTATTTTGTTGGTGAGCAGCTTAATGCAAAGTGTCACGAGGAGTATCATCATTGAATCTGTTCCTGGAATTACGGTGTGCGATGCGCTTGGCGATAGTAATTGATTATAATGGTTTATAATCTGTGTGGCCATCTGATGTTTTCATGTCCATATATAGGATTTCTCTGTTGTAATCCAGAGAAAATATGGTACAGAATGTGTGCATATTCATTATACTAAAAGCTTATTTCTCACATATATATTTAAATTTAATATTTTTCTAATGATTTAAGTTAATGGGTTCTATGGATCAACTAATTCTAGTGGAGTTACCACTTTCTAATTTATAATTAGGGTCTCTGTTGACATCTGGATTTGTTTGTGCAAGTGTATTCTTATACAAGTGATAAGTCCTAAGTTGGAGGTTATATGTGAGCATTTTATATATTATTTTAATATATAAAATAGTTTAAAAATTAAAATTAAGTGTTTAGTGTTCATTTGATATTATTTATGCTTCCAAATAAAAAATATTTATATTTAGCTTAATAATTTTGTAGGAAAATTTCTAACCAAAGAGTATATATATGTATTAGTGTATACCTACGTGTATGTCACTTGTACGTATGTTTGTAATGGGAAAGAAGCATCAGGTCTCGCTTGGGGTTGTTTCTATCTAGGGCACCTGTTTCGGGGGATCTGCTACTTCGGAAGAAGGGAGGAGGAGAACGCACATGGAGGGCGGCAACGGCGAGGAGCTTGCGGTTGGCTGCGTCCTCTCCCTGAGAACAACCCTCGGCGACGAGATCGAAGGCCAAATCATCGCCTACGACCGCCCCTCCAACATCCTCGTCATCCATATCCTTCTCGCTCTCGTCAATCCGATGTCTTTCTTGTTTCTATCTGATGTTTCCCTGTTTTCGATTCGTTTCTTTGACCGATCGTCGACACAAGAAGGCAGTTCGAAGGCGGGGCCTCGGAGGAACATTCGGCTTCTGAAGGCCAACTACATCCAGGACTTCACGTACCTGAGGAAGGCGGAGGACCCGATTGACCCCAACAAGTGCTACATCGATCTCGCCGGCCTCCAGGCTAGGGAAGAGGCCTCTTTGAGGTATTCATTCCATCAGTTTCTTATGCAGGTTTTGGGTTTTCCTTTCGCAAATTGGTTCGGAATTTGCCTCTCTAAATATAGAAGTAAGGCTGCTTACTTTGACCCTCTCCAGACCTCACATCTCGTGCACTGAGTTGATCCTTTTGCAAATTGCTAGAAAAAGATGGGATTTCGAGAGGGGATTTTTTAATTTGGTCATTATTTTGCCGAATTCTGGGGCTCTTTTGTTGGAATAGTTGGCTCATTAGATTTTCTGTGGCAGTTAGAATTAAAATTTGGAAGAACAAATTCTTGGGCAAGTTTCCTTTTGATATATTGGGTTAAGGAATGTGCTCTGTCGGCAAAAACTAAAACTTATCTATTGTTTTTTATTTAGCAGAATCATTCTTTATTATTATTATTATTATTATTATTATTATTATTATTATTATTATTATTATTATTTTGTGTCATCATGGTTTGTTGAATGTTGTACAGACAAGCAGAGATTGAAGCTGAGAGGATTGGCGTTGGGGTCACCAGCGAGGCTCAAAGCATTTTTGATGCATTGTCTAAGACGTGAGGAACAATTTGCCCTTCTTGATTTCCTAATTTAAATAGTATATTTGTAGTTAGAACAGTGAATAATGTATTCAGCTTTTATATATTCCGATCATAATTCCATCTTAGGGCTTTGGATTGGAGTTTTATAAGAGTTATAAATTATATGATCGATTGCATTTTTGTGCAAGAGACAAATAACATTCTTATAGGCATTAGAATCGTGTTGTCACAGACAAATCTGTATAAAAGGTGTTTGATGTAATGTATGTGTATATCTATATCTTTTGATGTAATGTATGTGTATATCTGTATCTTTTGATTTTATTCATGCTTTGCATAGTATGTAGAGGGCTTGTAATAGGCTTGGTAGTTTCATTTTAGTTGGTTTTTGTGGTCGTTTTAGTCCTGTAAATGTATGTTGTGTGCAATCATCGTGCAGAGACAAAACTACCCCAAAAAAAGTCATCTAGGCAATCATTTTGGGGGTTTTCTAGCTTCGTAGAGTGGTGCAAAGTGTCAACTATCACAACACCCAGGAGCTACCCAGATGACACATGCTTAGATGGGCCTTTGGGGTAGTATCTAGGGTTGGTTCGCTATCTTGTTCTATAGCAGTATCATGTGGGCACTTGTGAGGACTTTTGGCAACGACGGACCATCTTGGACCCTTTGTCGCATGATTTTTCAGAGCTTCAAAGTCTATGTTTGTAATTTGCATTGCTTATCAAGTGTTCGTTGAAATGTCTACTTGTGGGATCCTGGATTAAACGTTTTCTCTAATCCGTCTTTCCTTTTGTAGGTCCTTAAGAGATCATAAGAGGTTTTAGGGAGATTGACCATATGCGGACGGACATATAAGGGTGCCACACAACTTAGGCAAAATCAGTTAAGTCCGTGACATATGGTTTAAACGTGGGACAAGCACACTTAGAAACACTTGGCATGCAAACGTGGGGGGCCTAGCAGGGTTGTATTGAGGGCAACCAACATGAGCAACCGTTTGAGAGAAATGGGCGTAGAGCTGTAGAGAAAGGAGTCGCTCGGAGGAGCGAGCATCCAAGATTGACATTTAGAGGAATGATGAATCCTTCGCGCGAGAGGCACCACGAGGACAAGCGAGCTGGGAAGAACACGTAGCTCACAAAGGTTAGCATGACTGAGTTCGAGCTGTAGCTCGATGTTGACAACCAAACTTGGTGGTGCTCAAGGCAAGCAGGGCGTTTGGCAAAGGATGAGACCGTGTAAGGTGGGATGGATTGCTTAACATACGAAAGAGTTGTGCAAAGCTCACGAAGTGAGGGGAATCGTTAATTCGAAGAATTCAGTACTCATGCAAGGACTTGTATATAGACAATGAACTATTGGTGGTCATCCTAAGACGATCGAAACTTAACGCCATGGAGCATGAAAACTTTATCTTCGGTATGAAAATGATATATTTGTAGTAACCTGAAGTGTGCAGCATATTCAATATGTTGCTAGGCCTTGAGGGGCGTACTGAGAGTTGTATTGGCGAAGAGTCACAACCTAGCAAGTGTGCTTGCGGTGGTGAAATAGTGCATAGTTTGTTCAGCAAGGTAGAGTAATCCAAGGGGATGGTGGTCTTTGAAACTTCTAGACGGAATGATGCGAAGAGAAAAGTTGTTCAACAGGATAGATATCTAGGAGGGATACGTCCCAGTTCTCCAAAGGAAGAATAATGTGCAATGGGCCACACATGTTGAAGGGGGTACTTCAAAATGACAACTCTATAAAGCTCAATGGACCGAGTAAGCAGCGAGGAGTCGTCGCATAATCTCGTACGAGGTAATGCGTTGGTGGATGCACTGCGAGATAAAGCGGGGGCGCGAGCCTAGGCAACACCAAACGAAGGCATATTTAGAGCCAATGTGAAGATTGGACTCAAGGGAGGGCTGATCGGTGGAATAGTGGATGCGAGGGTCACCATCAACTCAATGCAAACCGAGGAACGAAACAACTTGGGTGGAACTTGGTGAAGTGCCCAAGCCGCATGAAGGGAGTTAATATAGAAGATGGAACATGGAGCAGAGACACGAAATTTCCTTGGACTGAGATCAAGGATATGAACTCTTACAGAAGCGAGAGCGAGATCATGTTGTTTCATAGGTTCCTCGTTCTAATGGAGTAGACTCATCTTGCATGATGTCAAAGTCAAAGGGAGCTTCGAGGTACATGCACTTTTTCTCGATGAAGCAATTGACGAAGGGACTAAGGTGACTCAAGTTGCAGAGACAAAGTTAGGGTCAGAAGACCTTGGCACAGGGTAAGAGTACACAAAGGCGGGTACTCTTGAAGAATGTCGCTGTGCTATCATTCAAGTTATTGCAAAGGAAGCTGTGTGCAATATAGATTGTGCTAGGGGCAGGGGTTCATGATCTAGACAATGCTACACCAATTTTAGTGAGGTCGGTGGACTTTAAGAGCTACTGGGCGACGAACTGTCCTAGAGTTCTTCGTTCATGTGTGACCCGGGAGCGGGTGGACGAAGGTCGATTGCTAAATAAGCAAACATAATCGCAATTGGCGGAAGTCCTACGATGTGCTAGCAGAGGCCACACATAGAGAGATCACAGTCCAAGTTCATCTTACAATGATCAGAGTGCAATGGAGATGTAATCATAAGGCAATATGGTGTAGTGGATTGTGGTGGAACAGTTCGAGGCAATGCAACACACACATGAGAATTCCCGTGAGGGACTTGACCATACGAAGGTATGATCGGGAGCTACTGGGTGCTCCACTTCGATGAGCAACACAATTGCAAGTAGGGCTATGGATTCAAAGAGTGAATGTCATGGTATAGCAGAAGCGGGTCTTCCGTGTGTGCATCAAATGAAAGCCTTAGGCATCAGCATATAGGGGTTGTGTACCACCAAGAAAAATTTCAAGTGCAAGTACTAGTGAGTCCTATGGGGGGATTTAATCATATAAGTATGATCAGAGTGGTTGGAGAGTTGGATTGCTCAAGAGCTCATATTCGCTTGAGGGAGCTCGTCAAGTTAGAGGACAAGGCCGAGTGAGCGAACATTGCTACCAAAACTGCAAAGGAAAACAGAATCGCATGAGCCTTGCTACATGATGGCGGAGGCCATGCATGAGAGTTGTAGTTTGTCTTTCCATTAACCAAGAGAAACTACTTGGAGAACACAGAGGTGTTGAAGCAGTTGGTTGAAGGGGCAGGGTAGCGATGACAAGTCCAGAGGGACTTAGCCACCCAAAATGAAGTGTCGGTTAGGATAGAGGTGGACTTGGAGGAGTGCCACAATGTCATAAAGGCGGACCTACCAATCGCGAAGAAAGGGACATATGTGAGACGATAGATAGTAGGGCCATGAGCATGACAACGTCATGGTACCGTAGAGACGAGACTTCCGTGGAGTTATCGATCTTTTGCTCTT